TACAGCGGGGCGGGAGGGGAGGGAGAAGAATCACTAATTTGTAATAAGACTCAAGATTAACCCAGCCGCCCAAACCAGGAGGGTGAATGCCATCTAATAGGTATTATCTTATATGCAAAAGGTTCCTGTTGCCAAATCGTTCCTTAGAAGTACCACTTGTTACCTGGAAAAATATTAAAAGCCTGTTAATCAAAGCTTTCTGTGCATCATTTAGATATTGAATGTTATCACAAGAAGAATTTACTCAAAGCTATTGCATCTAAGAACTAGCTTGGTCATTTACAGACCACAAAGAGGACTGCCTAAAATGGTGGTGAGGTTATTCTCATCACTGGTATATTCAATAAACCCATATCAATATGAAAAGAATTTTACAGACAAGCTTGGTAGGGGCATGTTACAAGCAACGATGCCATAGGCAGTGATCTAGAAGAAATGTAAAGTGTTTACTAGACTTCCAACTCGGTTATCTCGTCTTTATATGGGTACAGGGGGTGAGAACAAGCAAAGAGGTAGAGAGAGAGATGTACGTACATACTTTACATTACGTACGTACATGTAGTTACATTAAAAACTGTGAGGTGCTGGGAATTTAGGGGCCGGGAGTGATGGTGGCTTACAGTATGACTGATTGAAGGGAAAGCACAAGGACCCATATAATAGGTGGGAGGGAAGAGGTATTCCTGAATTTGGGAAAACTTATCTGTACAAGGTAGTTTTGTTGTTGTTTTTTTTAAATATGGTAGCTATTTGTACTCCCAGCTAGACCAGTTGACAGAAAGCTGGAGAAGCTTCCAAATCTTTTTGTTTACAATATGCAATGTAGTTATAGCTATGTGGAGCCCAGGCAAAGAAAGACAAATTGGGTCATGAATTTCTTTTTATTGGACCAATTTCTATTGGTGAGCAAGACAGGCTTTCGAGCCACAGTTGGCCCAGGACACACCTACTCAAAGTAGTGCCAGATTCTGCCAGAATAACAGATGCAAAAGCTGCTGTCACATCTTCACTCCTACAATTCACCACGTTTCCCTCCTCCTGTCTCCCCGCCACAACTTGCGTTTCAAGATTCATAGGTCCTACACATTTCTGTCACAACATGTGGTGTACTCATCCGGCACACTAAATATCCCAATAACAGCTGCGTGAGTGAAATCAGACAATCACTGTGGTCTTGAATGAACTCTCACAGGAAAATGATAAAAGACAAAAGCAGCTTATCACTTGTGAGTGAACACTTTTCACAAAGCAGCCATTCTGTATCTTACCTCCCAGTCCTCTTATTCAAAGGAAACCTGCTCAACAGGTTAGGACTTCAAATTTGTTACTCTGCTAGTTACTAAAAATTATGGGTTGAACAGAGACCATGGATTTATGGTTTATTACAACAATCTGTAACCTACTAATTCCTTTTTATCCTATGACTGCAGAGATGCTAACCAGCCACTCTACCTTGAATGTTCGCTTACAATAAGTGCTTACTACTTATGGTAAGCAATCTTTTCCACTTTGCATTTTTCTGTGATGCTAGGAGTAACTTTTCCAGACCTGAAGAGCTCTGCATGGCTCAAAAGTTTGTCTTTCTCACCAACAGAAATTGGTCCAATAGCAGATATTATCTCACCTACTTTGACTCTATGTATACAATATTCCATAGACAATTCTGTAGATCGGTTTTTGTGTATGTTTGTTCTGCAAACTTTATTTAAGTGTTAAACTGATTGAAATGTCACAAGATTAACATTATTGCTTAAAGTGCTTCGATCAATTAAAAATCAAAGTACATAATTAAAACATAAGGCTAAGCAATATTAGATACACAATTAAATAATTATACAAATACAGTAAATAGTACAGTTATTGTGAGAGAAGACAAATTAAAACATAACACTGATAAAAGGTACTAGAGTAAAATAGGTATAAAGAAAGAATCTCCTAAAATTCTAATATACATTAAATTGTAAAAGATAGTGCTCAAACTCCTTGGCCACGAAACAGAAAATAAGAGACAGAATGATAATGACCTGTTGTGGAATGGTGCTGAGTCACTGGAAGTTGCAAGTGGTCAGCGCCACTCAGAATCAGGCTCCAAGTGCACAATATTGTAACACATATGGGTGCAAATTTGTATGGAAGGTACTGTGTGAAGAAAAAAGCCATGTGTAATAAAATGCCCAAATCCTTTATAATGTTGGGTAAATGCCAATTCCATCTTAGTTCATAATTATAATTGAATTGAATTGTAATAGCGCAGCATTGTAATGCAATCAGATTGTATGGCACAAATTAAAAGGTAGCTAGTTTGCATAAATGTAGTGTTCTTTTGAACAGGTCTACATTAATGCAAACAATATACCTTTTAGTTTGTGCCAAGAACACAGGGCAGTTTGACTAACATTTTCGTGCACTCTGCAATTCACACCATCGTAGGTTGCACTGCAGCATAGACAAGCCCTCAATGTCTTTGCTAAATTCAATGCATAAGAGACATCTGCTGCTTTTTAATTTTAACTGTTAAGGGAGTCCAATTTTAAAATGTTAGTTTATAGAACCACATCTGTAACCCACTGAAACACAGTACATATTGGGATGGTTATATTTTATTTTCAACTAGATATTCTGCTTTCATTGATATTCCTTTCTCACCAATCCCTTCTTTTGTCCCCATCTACTATGTTAAAAAACCAGAAAATATATAATATGCTAACAGCTTGTTGGATATGAGCTTATCAGTGCCTGATAACACTTCCTTGAGTTTAGTGGAATACCAACAAGTAAAAAATGGTCTTTTCTATAAATAAGAACATTGTAATGAAATATGGAGATGAACAAGTAACAATGTTACATAGAAAATACATCTCATGCAATGACACAAAAGACCTAATGAATTTAACTTATACTTGGACCTATCCCAGTTGAAACTCAGTAAACTAAAAAAACTAATTTTAGAGGAGCACAGAATATTGTTAAATATCTGCTACTTTCATTTCTAAAATTGCTGGCTAAAAAAGTCTTGATTGTCCTAGCCTGAACTGATGATGATGACTGCATCATCACGGCAAATTTTTTTGATTGACTAAAATAAAGGTCATAGTGACATTATGTTCTTTATAATCTTACCATGATTTCTCTAAAATTGAAATCCAACAATTTATTTTCTACTCATGTTACATTATTATAGTAACTCTTTTTTTGAGCTAGCACATCCCTCTATTTAACAACCCTGCATCATTTTCATGTAACTCCTTTGGATCTCCCTAATGTATCACAGAAATGTTGTTGGACTCTTCTCCCCCTCCATAAAGTATAAAAAGCTTGCCATAACAATTTTATTGACAAACAACAAACTTTAATTCTCTGTATTTATTATCCAACCTAAAGTCTTGTTTTGCAGCCTGGGGAAAAACAAAAATTAACATATATTGAATCTTAGATAGTGTTATTTAACTATTGCTGCAATACTCAGACCTTATTACCACACAAACCATTTTCTAGAATCTGACTCTTTTTAAGATAATTTCTTTATGTACAATTGTTCTTTATACAAACAGCAGTCCCAAACACTCAAGTTATATATTAATGATATTTTCTTTTGTTTTGTTGTAAAAGTTTAACACGCGTCCTAAAACTAGATGGCAGCAATTTGCAAAATACATAAAATTTGTCCAACCTTGGTTAAAATTTATCTTAAAAAGTGCATTTATTCACAAATCACAACCAGAATACAGTCTCGCTAGCCAGACAAAAGACAGCCACATTAGTAAATGGAAAGATGTGAATGTTCTTAAATATTCCATTAATGAAGCCAAGTCATTTTATGCACTTTAGGGCCTGATCTAGCTCCATTAAAGTCAAGGGAAAGACTGTCATTGGACTTCAGAGATTGCTGAAGCCTCAGAAGCACAGAACACTAGAACTGGAAGGGATCTTGAGAGATCGAGTCCAGTCCCCTGCCCTCACAGCAGGACCCAGTACCATCTAGATCAATGGTCACCAACCAGTAGATCTTATGAGGCCAATCTAAAATTAAGAAATATTATCATCCTGCATGGTAAAACTTGCATCCCACTGTGAGTAAAAGAGGGAAAAAAAGGTTTTGCAATTGTATGGACTCAGTCCTCCAACCTTTACTCATGTGAATGGTCACATTAGAGCACTTGAGGCTGGGGAGGTTACAACATGAGGGGAGGTTGCTCTAAGTTCTACAACTTCAGCTACATGAATGAGGTAGCTGAAGGTGATGTACTAAGGTCACCTGCAGTGTCTTCACTGTGGTGTCGATGGAAGATGCCCTCCTGTCAATTCCCCTTTGCACTTCTCATTCTGGTAGGGGACCAGAATCGACACAAGCAATTGGTGGTCAACTTATCAAATCTATACTGGACTCAATAAATTAGCCCCCACTGAATCAATCACAGTCTGTGAATCCAGCCAGTAGTGTAGACATACCCTTGAACTACTTGCATAATAAAAGCTGTAGGTTTAGATCCTGTGTCTGAACTGTTGGATCAATATAATAGCATGATAAATAATTCACAAATCCTTGAAGATGACAAAGCTGGCTTTGTTTTTCTTCCAAGGTAAAGTGCTATACTCCTTAGGTTTCCAAATGGCCACTGTTAATTCCAAATAAACTTCAAACCATGTTATAAAAAAGGCTAACATTGCATGCTCACTATCCTGTAACAAAAACAGTTTCACTTTCACTGTAGATTGCAACACACATTTTTTTTCACTCTCCCAAGAGAAACTGAGCTATCAGTCAACATTGTTTTAAACAATATTTGTTGAAATATAAAACTCAGCAACAAAATTACAGTTGGACTTCTAAAAGAGTACTGAAAGTGACACCTTCTAATAAATACACAAAGTTAAAATATGTAATAGTAAATACTGTGAGATGATGATGTTTCTTTCTAGACTTCCTCTCCCTTCTCCTTTTCTTCCTAATAGGGCCAAATTCTGGTTCTGTTAAAGACAATGGTAGTTTTACTATTGTCTCCATTGAGCTCAGGATTTGAGCCTTAAAATCCATCCACTATATGGTGAAGTATAATTGTCAAATCCACCAAGTCAGCTGTCAGAAAATTATTCTCAACATGCTATCAATCCCTTCTCATGCCCTATTGATACTTCCTTTGACTCTCCTTTGCCAAATATTTCCAGTATTAATGGCATAGCAACTTATTAGTAGAACATGACCAGTGCCGACCAGGTCTGAAAAGAAAAACATTAATGATCACATTATGCCTTTTGATGACTCTAGAACCATGTACTCTTGAACTTTTCTGATACCACAGCAATTGAGATATTGACAAGCATGACTCCATCTCATCTGATGAAGTGTGTTTATCCATGAAAGCTCATGATCCTATACCTTTGTTAGTCTTTAAAGTGTCACAGGACTACTTGTTGTTTAAGTTACAGACTAACACAACTACCCTCTAAGACTTCTTATTATGACTACAGATGCTGCAAGTTGTTACTACATTACTGCAGGTATAAACTCCAGATTATCACATAACAGATGTTCTACATTAATAAACAGTGGACCTTGTCCTAGGTACCAAGTAACTGCAGTTACCACTGATGGCATTTGGAGCTGTGGGTACTTGAGCCCAATGATGGATGTTGTACCAATAATATTTACTTAACTAGCCTGTGTAATGCTGGCTCTGTTGAAGGAAATGTTTTGTGTCCACAATATTGGAATATTTGCAGTTTCAATAATCATACACATTCCGTTGTTCCTTTTGGCTGAAACATAAGATCACACCTTAAAAAAGTACCTCATATGAGAAACCTCTCCCTCTACTCTTCCCCACAAAACCCTCAGTGCCACTTAGAATCAAAATGACTAGATCAGTTTACCTGTGCGCGCTCATCAGGATAAACAGGAAGACTGTATCATTTTGCTTCAGTGTGATTTAACTCCCTTTATGTGAACTGTGGACTTGAAGTTACCCACTGAAAGTTTTTAATAACCCAAACCTTAAAGAATTTGGGAAGAAAATCTTTTTAGCTGTGGAGAATAACATGGGACAAAATCCCCTATGCAACCACCATGCCAACAGTTATGAACTAGATTTTTTTTCCTATACTTAAAATGGATAACAGTACATTTCAGTGTGTATTTAAAGGAATGCTTCTTAAAGTGATATTCCAAAGCTATGTAGAAAGTTTAAACAATTTGCCCTAAATGCAATGCATACGTCAATAGAAAATACTATTCTAGCTCAGTTGGATTTAAAAGATGACCCCAAATCCTGTAATCTGTAAATGTTAGTCCATATAAATTTTACTAAGATTTTACTACAATTCATTCTGAGTCATACTAAAAAAAACTGCTGCATGTCAGAAATGAAGGGTTATAGTCAAGAACACATAAGCCATTTAGTAGAAGATAAGATATATCATTGTTTGACCATTCAGGATGTGCTCTGACAGTTGACAGTTGTGATCAGTTTTCTCCATTTGCAGCATTTCAGAGTTCTCCAAAGTCATTCTCTTGATTGATAGAATAAAATATAACCAGATTCTGAATTTTTTGATATATCAGAGGTCAGTCCATAGAATTCTTCAATAGCTTGAGCATCTATTTTCTGCAAAAATAAACAGTTCAACATTTTTTCATCATCAAACATTTTAAGATTGGATTAAATGAATATAAAATGGCTAAAACAAGTATGTAGTTGTTTGCCTCAGGGTAATGATTAACACGTTTTGTTAGTGATTTTAAAAATGAGTTGGCAATTTAATATCTTAGGAGCCAAATCCCGCTTGCTTTACTCCCCAGTGGCAATGGGAGTAATCCCTCCAAGTAATCCACACAGGATTTGCCATAATAGAGAGAATCTTGTTTCTGTTACATAATAGCAAACATGAGTAAATGGGATTTACATTTTCTAGTAACAGTAGACTGGTGCTAAAATTGCAATGCTGATTTAACTTTTGCCTTCCCCCAAGGGTTCTCTAATTACCTCCTTTTATTTTCATTTTCCTTATCACTGCCTCTTTTTGGGACAGATTTTGCTACCCTTATATTCAAATATCAGAAATAAGTCCATTGTTTACTTTCTCACCAGTTTTACTTTGCTGTGATGACAATTAATGTATTTCTAATTTACACTGGTGTGGGAATCAGAATCAACCCCTACTCTTGGCAACAATCTGCAGTGATTTCTAGTGTCATGGGAAATGATTAGAGGTTGAACTCTGCACTCCATAAACAGAGCAAAATTGTCATAGATGTTAACTGCAGTTTTGTACAATTAAGGGCTGCACAATGAGGCCCTAGACCTTGTAGGTTTCTGTGTATTTTGAATTGACTTTATTAGATTTTGGAGAAAAAAATCAAAATAACTTAAAACCCAGATTCTTAAGGAAAAAACAGAGTATGTCTGTCTGAAAGAAAACAAACTACACGGATGTAAATGGGAGTTTCTTTGAATTAGGTGTGAAGGCTCTATTATAAATCTTATATTTTAATGGAGATAGGCCTGCACCAGAACTCTCAAAACACCTCAGACTTTACAGGGTGGCAATTAGTACAAGAATTATAAGGTATATAAACTAGCTAAAGGGAGCTCAAAAGGTGAAATATCAGAATAGAGGGAAGTTACTAATGGACTTCCTCAAGGATCTATTTAGGAACCAATCTTATTCAATATTTTTATTAATGACCTCCACTTAGGAAGGAACAATCAGTTTCACACATACAGAATGGAAAGTGACACACACAGAATAGGAAGGAGTACTGGAGGAAGGGATCTAGGGCTCATAGTGGACCACAAGCTAAATATGAGTCAACAGTGTGATGCTGTTGCAAAAACAGCAAACATGATTCTGGGATGCATTCAGAGGCGTGTTGTGAGCAAGACATGAGGGCTGTGTCTACCCTGGCCACTTATTCCGGAAAAGCAGCCGCTTTTCCGGAATAACTTGCCAGCTGTCTACACTGGCCGCTTGCTTTTCCGGAAAAACAATGACGATCTACTGTAAAATTGTCTGTGTTTTTCCAGAAAAACTATGCTGCTCCCGTTCGGGCAAAAGTCCTTTTCCAGAAAAACTGTTCCGGAAAAGGGCCAGTGTAGACAGCACAGTAGTCTTTTCCGCAAAAAAGCTCCGATCGTGAAAATGACGATCGGGGCTTTTTTGCGGAAAAGCGCGTCTACATGGCCACGGACGCTTTTCCGGGAAAAGTGCTTTTCCGGAAAAGCATCCTGCCAATGTAGACATGCTTTTTCCGGAAATACTTATAACGGAAAACTGTTCTGTTTTAAGCATTTCTGGAAAAGGGTGCCAGTGTAGATGTAGCCGAGAAGTCATTCTTCCACTCTACTCTGCACTGATTAGGCCTTACTGGAGTATTGTGTCCAGTTCTGGGGCCCACATTTCAAGAAAGATGTGGAAAAATTGGAGAAGGTCCAGAAAAGAGCAGCAAAAATGATAGAAGGCCTAGAAAACTTGAGCTATAAGGGAAGAATGGAAGAATTGGGGTTGTTCAGTTTAGAAAAGAGAAGGCAGAGAAAGGACATGATAGCGATTTTCAAATATCTAAAAGGTTGTTAGAAGGAGGAGGGAGAAAAATTGTTCTCCTTGGCCTCTGAGGATAGGACAAGAAGCAATGGGCTTAAATTGCAACAAGGGAGGTTTAGGCTGGACATTAGGAAAAGCTTCCTGACGTTCAGGGTGGTTAAACACTGAAATAAATTGCCTAGGGAGGGTTCGGAATACTAGAGTTAGTTAGATGTCTGTCCAACCTGCTCTTATCAGGAATGATCTAGACAGTGCTTGGTCCTGCTGTGAGGGCAGGGGACTGGGCTTGATGACCTCTCGAGGTCCCTTACAGTTCTAATATTCTATGTCTATGACCTTGGCAGAAAAAGTAGAAGTATACTACTGACATTTGCTGATGATACAAAGTTATGAGGCACCATCAATACAGAGGAGGATCAAAATATTGTAAAGGAAGATCTGGATGATTTTGAAGATTGGACTAACGAATGGGGTAAAATTCAGTAGTAAAAAAGTGCAAAGTCACATAATGAGAGTTTAATAATAAGAATTTGTGCTACAAGCTAGGGGTTTATCCAGTGGTCCCCAACATGGTGCCCGCCGGGGCATTTATGTGCACCCACTGAGTGACCAGAGCCAGCCCACGCCATTCTTGTGCCCCGGGCTCACGGCACATGCGTGGACCCGCCCCGGGGCGCGCAGCAGCCCAAAAAGGTTGGGGACCACTGGGTTTATCAGTTGGAATTGATAGAGCACAAGAGAGAACTGGGTGTACAGGTCAATCACTGAATAACTATTAGCCACTAATGTGATGCAGCTGTGAAAAAGGCAACTGCGGTCCTACAATGTACCAGGGAAGGCATTTCCAGTGGAGATGGAGAAGTATTAATCCACTGAACAAGGCACCGGTCAGACCTCATTTGGAATACTGGGCACAATTCCAGTCAGCCGTGTTAATGAAAAATTAATTCAATCAGGTGCAGAAAAGATCTATAAGGACCTCCAGCTCCTTGCCATCCTTTCTTAGGAGAGGAAACTGGAAGAGCCTGGCTTCTAGCAAAAGCTGAGAGTGTGTATGTTTGATCTCTATAAATACCTCAAGGGAGTACATATCAGGGAGGATAAAGAGCTAAAGAACCATGCTGGCACAAAACCAAATGGATATATCTGTCCATGAACAAATTCAGTCTGGAAGTGAAAAGGAGATTCTAACCATCAGAAGAGTGAGGTTGTGGAACAGCTTCCCTGTAAGAGTTCTGGGGGAAACAACTTGGTTTTAAGGGACAACTGAACAAAATTAATCAGTGTAATTATAAGATGGGGTTGCCTGTGATGGTGGGGGGCTGGGCTCAGCAGCCCTGGGGCTCAGTTCCCATTTATGTTATGTTCCCAAAGGCTACCCCTTCTTATCCCTAGCTCTTGTAGGAGGAGGCCTATTGCTGTTTATATAACTGAAAAACTAGACTGCATTTTTGTACAGCAGGCATGTCAAACAGGCCTCTGGAGGGCTGCATGTGGCCGGATCAAAATTTTTTGTGGCCTGCCACTACGTTTTTATAAAAGAATAAAGTGTGGCCTGCTGGCCGCTCGGAGCACGTGGTGGAGTGAAGATCAGAGCCGGGTGACCAGCCGATCTGCTCATGGCCATCTGGGCACTAGATTGGGAAGGGGGAGGGGGCTGGGAGTGTCTGGCTCTGGGGGAGGAGGGAGGCATTAGGTCAGGTAGGCCTGGGGGGTTATGCTAATGAAGCAGGGGAGATTTAAATCCCCGCTTCATTAGCAATTGCGATACGTCTAATTTACATCCCTTTTACGAAAAAGGGATGTAGTCTAGATGTAGCCATGGAGTATAGGTCCATCAGTGGCATCCCTAGCCTCTGTCAGATGCTGGGAATGGGCAGCAGGGGATTGGGTTAGAACGGGGGTATGGGAATGCTTGGTTCTGGGGGAGAGGAGGAGGATATTTTGTTAACATTTTGTTATTTATTTATTCCTAAATAAAATCACATAATGTATATTAATTTTATATCGATAAATATGTAAATTTTTTGTAATTGTATGAATATTATATGTTTTTAAAAAATCTCAAACTTACAAAGTATCTGAAATTTTCACAGAAGCCTGTTCTATTTGATTAACCATGGTCTATACTTGTTTTTATTTCAACAAAACAAGTTATGTATCATATAAAACATTAAAAAGTACCTTAAATTTATATTTAAATTAAAAATTATCTTATATGAGCAAAACAATTTTACGCATCAAATTATTGTATTATATTAAAACAAAACCTGAAAAATTATATACTAAAACATAATAATAAATAATTATGACTTTCCGATAGAAGTACATTTTCTTTGGTGGCCCTGAAAGCTATCAGTTTTTGTTTGTGTGGCCCTCAGTAGACTTCGAGTTTGACATGCCCATTGCAGCATGGTTTTAATTCTTTGTCTTTCTATGATGTATTTGTTTTCATAAATTGGAGCAAAAGTGAAGGGGGAAATCAAGCCAACAAAAGCTGGTGGTCTCTGAATGGTAAGCCACACCAAATGGAAACAGGAATTTACACACCAGTAATCTGCTGCATACTGACCTCTACAATGTCATCATCAAACAAAAGCCAAAATCCATGACTTTTCACAATGGTGATATAATGCCCACGATTAGGTCCACTAGAAAAAAAAAGTATCAGAGACACAAAGGAGTTGTTTTTGAAAAGTTATATTAAATGTAAATAAAATACATTTCCACTGAAGCCTTTTGTAAGCTAGAGTTAAGTAGATGTGTGCATTCTTCTTTCTCCTTTACTGGGTTATCTAAAATGGGTTAGTCAACTGAAAATCAAATGCCCTTGCATTAACTTTAATATGGTAATTTATTAACCTAGCTAAAAAGTAATTGACAATTACTTGGTGGCAGATAAACTCTGTCAAATATTTTCAAAATTGCTCAAATAAATTTAAATAGGAAGAAAAGAGGCTGATTTTTAAAATGTAAATATAATTATATTTCTTCTTCTGGGCAGAGAGAGCAATTGTTCACATTTATTTAGAGCTCTAAGAAATCTGCTATTTTTTTCAATGCTTATAATCCCTCCCATCAGAGAACTCCTTATTATGGCTAGCATTCTTAACCAATCCTTAAAATCACCCAGCTAAAGCAATCACCATTTAGTAAAAAATATATATACAACCCCAGCCTCCTGCTGGAGTCTGAATATCCTGTCTCCAGATATTTCCAGCCCAATGGAAGAAAGACACAGCAGGCCACATTCTAATCTTTGTTACATTAGCATATAAACAAAGTAACTCAGTTTAAATCACTTGGATTTACAATAGCTTCATTTATAAAAGTCTGACTGACAGGTTTATCATATGGCAATGCACATTTTTACTGCTATGGTTGTGGGCTGTTGTTTAATTATATTTTTTTTGTCCTGAGTATTTCATAATAATCCAATTTAGGTAGCTTAAAGTTGGCACAAGGACATCCTTACTTTCTTATGCTATCCCATGGTTTTCAATGTGATTTTGAACAGTAGTAAAGGTCTGTAATCCCAAATGTGTTGCAACTCTAGGCCCAGAGTCAGTTTTCTAGAAATATGTTGTGGTGATGCACCCCCATGTTTTTATGGAAAGTTTGTAATATGAATGTGCATAACTTGAATATGCATTATACAAACTGAGCATGTGACATATCATTCAAGAGCTTGCGATCTCCTGAATGTGTATATTCTATTGGTGTGCATGTGTTATTCTTGTATATGAAGTTAGAAATATGAAGTGTACGGTCTTCTAAAGAAGGCCTTAGTGGCCATGTGATAGGGTCACTTGATTCTGGAAGTCATGCTAAACACTGTACTTTTCCACTCAAGGTGGGAAAAGTTTGAACTGAACACAAAGGCTTCCCACCTTGAACAAAATCTGTATAAGGGCATGAAACCAAACAATAGGGTAACCACCTAAGATAACTGCTGGAAACATCTAAGAATGAACAAGGGGAAGGATCAGGCCCAAGCTAGGAGGCTGCCTAGCTTGTGAGAAAAGGTGATTAGAACTACTGTTAGGGCAAAAAATGGCATGTAACAAGTTTCTTAGAGCATTAAGCTTATCTTGTGTATTTTGTTTCATTTATGTGAGGCTTTGGTCCCATTAGAGCTGAGCTGTACTCAGTGTCTCTGTCACTCTGCTGTGGGCTGGTGTCTCAATTCTGTGCCTTGCTGGTGAAGACCAGAATGTCTAGCTTAGCAAGACAAGGTGGTGCAGCTCCCCAGAGGGCAAGCAGGTGGGCTCAGTGGTATGATTAGCCCATCAGGTGACAGTCTCCTGGGGATCTCTGTGACCCACACTGTCACACAGTTATATTGGCAGATTAATCCTTTTCCAGGTCTCATTTCTCTAGTCCTATGACACTATCATCAAATAGAGCTGGGCAGGAAACAGAATTTGACATCCGTGAACCATTTGAGGTTTTTGTAAATTGTTTGGTCTTAAATTAAGGCAAAAAGCCAAAAAACATCAGGGTATTTTTTCAGAACTGAATTTTCGTCAGATCTTGTTTGAGAACTATTAAATGTTCCCAGGAACATTTTGGTGCCTCCCAAACAAGTTTTACTTCTAAGCTCCTGAGCCTGCCTCCACAGCAGGTTGCTGGGAATCCTCGGGAACCTCAGCTCCCAAACCCCTTATCCGGCAGACTTCTGAGGAGTCTGGAAAAAAACTATGAAGACAAAAGAACCCAAAATGCATTTTTTAAACCAATGTCAGTATATTCTGAGGCACGACACAGGATTTTTGAATGTTCAGAATTGCCATTCTGAACACTGACCTAATAATAGCTTGGCTATACATGAATGCACTTTACCTGCCACAGTGAACAACAACAGCCACCAAGTCATACATGCGATCCAAATTGACAGCATCGCTGGATGTGTTGAAGAGACGTAGCTCCAGAGGAAAGACCACGCGGTAAGAGAGTTTGGTGTACCTGTGTAACTGCTCCATGTACTTGAATCTCTTGAGATGCAATGCAAGGATCATTGGCAGCTTTTTTACTCTCATCCTGTGAAATCATTAATAATAATGATAGGCTTTAAGAAGCACTGATCAGTAGAGTGTTGTTCTTTTCTTGCAGTCCTATGCCTGCACATTATAAATGTACTTTGTAAACATGAGTATTCGATTATCAATAACTGGGGGGCCTACGATGTGTGCAGCAGCTGTGGCTCCCTCTCTTGGCTTCAAGAGAGGCTATGTGGTGTGTGCATGTGTGGGAGAGAGTTGTAGCCATCAGAGGCCAAGAAGCTACAAACAGAGCCAGGAAGAGGTTCACAGACATGAGCCAGGAAGAGGTTCACAGACATGAGCCTGGGAATGTCATACTAATCCAGAAGTTGGGGACTGGAATGTAGTTCAATGTATGAGTAAGTGAGCAAAACTATACTTCAACACTGACTTAAATAGCTACCAAGGATATATCTACACTATGATTAAAAAAAACTCACATCACCAAGCAGGATCTCAGAGCCCAGGCTCTAATCTTGGCTTCAAGCCTGAACATCGACTCTGTAATTTTATAGCTGCACAAGCCCAGGTCAGCTGACCTGTGGCAGCTGTGGCCATACTGTAGGTCTTATCGTGTATCCTAAGACCGAGCTCTTACCTGAACAGGGATTGAACTGCACTATTCTTTACCAACCTTTTCTGTGCCTCTTGTTTGCTGCAGCAAGTTTCACAGTAGTACTTCTGTTCACTACATAGTGTTTCTGTGTTGCTGAAGTCTCTGTAAATACATATAAATATCAGTTCTTAAAGAGTCCTGAAATTTCCTCCAATATTACACTTGGACTGATGAGTTGTGAAGCCAATAAACCAAAATGTATGAAACCCTGGCCCACTGGAATCAATAGGAGTTTCATCCAATTTCTAAAATATGCTATTTATATCATCGCTTATACTTACAAAAGCCTTGACCCAGCAAAGCACTTAAACTGTACTTGAAAACATCAGTAGTCCCATTGACTTCAATGAGACTATGGTGCTTAAACCTGAGCATGTGTTAAAGTGCTTTGCTGGTGGAATATTAAAAATTACTTTTCTTTGTGAGGACTAAAAGTTTTGTGCTGCTACTTGTTTCACCTTTGCAATTACTTCAACAAATAAGACTTTTCAATATAGTCTTCTTTTTGCATGCTTTCGTGCATATAGCTCATACTGAAGTTCATGCAGACTTCTGTGTGCATGAAGTACTTCTGAGGGAATTCTGTGCCAAAAATAAAAATTCTGGACACAAATACTTTAACTTCTTCAAATTTTATTTGCAATAAATAGAAATGGAAGCTCCAGCATGCCAGTAGGGAGAACTAGGGATATTAAAATTAGATTAATCGACTAATCGAATAGTTGATGTAATTTCCACTAACTATTCAATTAGTCGATAAGGATGCTTCTGCTTTGAAATGTAGCAAGAGCCCACCCAGTTGTTGCTACATTTCAAAGGCGGAAGTGCTGCGCGGTGTTCTACCTTTGAAATGCCCCAGTAGGGGCTCTTGTGCATTTCAAAGATTGAAACTCTGCGTGGAGCCCAGTCCCAGCGAGGACTCTTGAACATTTTCAAAGACAGAACAATGCCGCTGCACCCCTGCCCCCTCCCATAGAGCTGGACCTGGGAGGAACCAGAAACAGCCCAGGGCCCTGCCAGGTGTTACCAGGTATGGGTAGGAAGACTCAGCCCAGCAGAATTCAAGTGTGGAGGGGTTTCATATGGTGGAATCCAGGTGTGGGGAGAGAGAGTTTTTTGAGGGGCAGTCTGGGTGTGGACAGCTCAGTGGGGAAGTCCAGGTGTAATCTGGACGCACAGGTGCTCATTGAGGGGTTCCAGGTACATGGGTAATAGGACTCAGTAGGGGACTGCAGGTGAACATGGCTGTAGCTCAGCATGTGGAGTCTGAGGGATGGGACTTGGGGAGGTCCATGTGCTGGGAGAATGGAGCTTAGTGGAATGGAGGATCAAGTTTGGAGGGCTCAGTGGGAAGCGGTTTAGGAACAGAGTGGGGTCATATGCAGCAGGGAGATCTGGGGGCACAGAGGTTCAAGTTGGGGGTCAATGTGGGAGTTCTGGATGCAGGGGGGTTGGGCATTTGGGGAAGCTGCTCCTTGTACAATGACCTCTGTCCCTAAGGAGATATGAGGACAGGAAGCAGGGATGGAATGTAGAGCTTTCCGCAGCTGGGGGAGGTTCTGGAGGTGGGTCTGACCAGGCCACACTCCTTGCAGAGGAAGTCCTGTCCACTCCTATCCCCAGGCACAGCCAGTATTAACATTTGAGCCCAGTACAGTCCCTGGCCATACTGTCCCCAGCCCCTTAATGATTTTTTCTCTCTCTGCTGGCTTCTTCTGGTGCTCAAAACAGTAAACCCATTCTGTCAGAGAGTAATTTTTCTTCAGGGAAGCAAAGAAATCTGCAGGGGACATGAATTCTGCATGCACACAGTGGTACACAATTCCCTCAAGTGTAATAAAGGCTGCAAGGCTGGGTAAGGTATTCCCAAGAGCTGCAGCACTCAAGACACTCCTAATTCTCCATGTCATTGACTTTCCTCCAAAAAAATAGACTTTGAATTCTATTTGTGTGGTTTTAATAGGGAACAGGGGAATTTTTTTTAGCTGCCTACACACTTGCACACACACACTGACCCACCCCCAAACTATTTATGGATTAGCCCTCTCTGGATTATTTCTTTTTAAGTTTCTTTAGTTCTCTCTGCAAGATCTATTTAACAGTCAGAAATGTGCCTTCTAAAATAGAAAATGTGTTATTTTGTTATGCAGCCAATATAAATAATATTTTAATGGGATAAAATAAATATAACAAAAAGAATGGAGTTGAAAGTTGGGATCAAATAGACTGAGTCAACTGGCCTTTACAACTCTGAATGGAAATAAAAATAATTGATACATAATTAATTTTGTTGTTAGATGAATTCCTTTTCTATTCATTGCTAGACTTTGTACTCAAGAGAGAAGGTTTATGCTGGAAGCATGTATTCTTTGGAGCACTTAAAAACCTTTTCATCTGATCAAAGACAGAAATAACTAGAAAAAGTTTCATCTGTAGTGGTGAAGACATATTTTTTACTGAAATATTGAACAATTTCTATTTACTTGTTCTTCTTTTCAGCACAGTAGTAGTCACCTGTTTGCAAAAGTAGTTATTGTCATATAAAGCAGGCAGTGAAATTTAGTATCATAATTTGATGGTCCCTGCTGAAAAAGCCTGCAGAGGTATTTGTCCATTTTATCAGGAATGAGACAGTTATGCAGCTAGGGAAGGCCCGTGTTTTAGCTTTACAAATGTTTAATTAAGAAGAGGCTTTTCTCTTTTTTCCAAGGAAGGGAGATGTGCTTCTTGTAAAAAAGACCGTCACAAAGAATGACAATTGGTGTTCTCTGCCTTGCTTGTTTTGTAGGTAACAATCTGTAGGCTCCTTCCCTTAAAAAATTTGGAGTATTTTGTTCTTGCAATGGAAAATAGGCTACTTAAAGCATGTGGCTGTTATACTCTTTGTTGCTGGGTTTTAATTATGTCAGTACAGGTTGGACTTTCTTAATCCAGCACCCCTGGGACCTGAGAGATCCCGAACCAGGAAGTTTGCTAGACCAGGGGGGATCAGTGCTCCCTTGCTAGCTGTTGGCTCTGCTCCTGGGCTCCTCTCCAGGTTGTGGGCTTCCCACTCCGGGGCTTCCCACCTTGCCACTAGCTCTGCTGCTGCTGGCCTGGATGGGGCTCCCCAGCCACTGCCAGCCCCACTGCTACTGGGGAGTCCCAGCTGGCCGGGTGCCAGAGCTTTCTGGTTAGTATTGGCGCCGCTGCCGCCAAGGCTCCCCGGCTGGGGTCACTGCTCCCCAGCCATTGCCAGCCTCGGTGCCACTGCAGTTTTTCCAGCTAGGGCAGGAGCTCCTTGGGCTGGGCTGGGCTGGGCTGGGCTGTCCAGCTGTCACCAGGAGCTGGGATTTCTAGGGTTGCCAGATGGTTTAACCAATAATACCCAAACACCTCCCCCCCCCCCAAAAAACCACTGGGAAAAAATTCAGCTAGTGTGCCCCCTCTCCCCCAGCAGACCAGGCTTTTGTTGTGGACCCTGGGGTAGAGCAGCTGGGGTGCTGCCGGGTTGGTCCTGCAGGGACCTACCTGGCAGCCCAGCTGTTCTGTCCCAGGCTCCAGATTCAGCCGCTGTTGAAACTGATCAGTGGCTGATTCCAGGAAGCTGGGGGCAGAGCAATTCTGCCTCCAGCTTCCTGTAGTCAGCCCCTGGTCAGTTTCAGCAGCAGCGGCTGAATCTGGAGCCAGTTCCGACTTACATACAAATTCAACTTAAGAACAAACCTATAGTCCCTATCTTGTACGTAACCCAGGGACTGCCTGTATCTAGTTTCTGTTTTAGCTGAAAGACATATGACATTGGCAAAGTGTATGAGGAAAGCAATGGATTGTACAGATTCAAATTACAGTTTTAGGAAGGCTCTCAGTTCCAGACTATATCCTTTATTGGGGAACTATGTAGCCTCAAAGAACTGTGATCCATTTAAGCAATAAATTTCTTATGAGTTTAACAATCAAGAGGTCAGAAAATATTAAACTCCATTTAGAATATCAAGTAGAACTTATTCTTGCAAATTTTTTATAGATGGTTAATCACAATTCTATTTTTTGTTTAAATCAAACAGGCAAGAGTTCAGAAGTATAATTCAGGATATTTCCACATACAGGGGATTGATAGTTTTCTTGAACAGACATTTCAAACAAGTTTATCAGACTAAGATTTATACTCTTTGTATACGCTTTAACCTTCAGTTTGGAGAATCTTACATGCCATTGGTAGTTTGACTGCATATAGCTGAATGAGAGATGATCAATAGTGGCACATATGGCTCAAACCATAGACTACTGTCAGGAGGCTAAAGTATCAGTGACATAAGACTGAAATACCAACACCAGGGATCAAGAACATTGTTCTAAAAGAACAGAAAAAATGACATCCTGTGTTCCAAGGCAAAATCCTTTGTAGTCCCAAACTAGCTCCATGGGTGCAGACGTACTATGCAGATGAGCATCTGTACAAAACCCTAATACACACAGACTATAAATTGAAATGGAGAATTCTCCTGACTCTAGTGTTCTGAAATGAAATGGTAGTTACTGAGCAAAGCTGTGACTATGCTGCATAAGTAATATTCTGAAATGCAATAATAATTCCCCATCTTCCGTACTCTGTGGAATGGCTCACTTGTGTCTGATTCAGGAAGCTATTGATATCTTAGCTGCTGCTCTGTGTGTTTTTAGGTGTACTATGCTATATAAGGAGGTGTCTCTAATACTCTGAAGCTTCATTTAAAATTTATTTTTAAAACATCTAAGTAACTTTGGCCCTCAAAAGATAATTTTGGTCTTCTGATATTATTTAATTAAAACAACGTATTTTAAACATAGATACCTATCTACTGTAGTCAGTGCCAGGACTTGTGATATTTCAAATCCACCCAGTGCTGTCAGTCCAGGTGAACCTGGAAATAGTTTGGGGGTTTTTTTAGGTATAATGGTTGAAAAGTTGCTCATTTCTGCTGCACTGTAGCTTCAGTACACAATTGGAACTTGCAATAAAAAAGTCAAGATTCCTTTCGTTCTATAATTTTAAGATGACACAGTAGCAGATCACAACTTACAAAACAGAAAATTAGATTTTTAAAACCCTTGTTTCCAGGGTCTCTGGGCCAAATTCAGCAAAGCATAGGCTTAACTTTTAATATATGTATAAGCCCTAATCAGCAAAGCACTTGATCATGATTTTGAAGTTAAACACACACTTAAATTACACTGAAACAAACTCACATTCAGAAGCAATTGTTCAGGTGAACAGATGATCAATTTCTTTCCTCAAGAGAGAACCATACACATTTGCTCTCTGTGTCTTACACACATAAACAAAATTAATTTAAACAAAATGTCTTATTAAAGGTTCCATTGCACCATGAACATTCAATTTATTCTTTTGCTCAGCAAAAGCTCAGTTCATGTTGCACAATCTGTCTTGCATCTTATCACTCAGTTGTTCCTAAAACTTTTACTTTCAATCTTCATTGGACTGGGAGAATCCGAAAGAAAACATGATTTAGGAGATTGGGGTAGAAATGTCTCCCAAAAAGATGCATTTATGACTTCAATTTTTTTTTACCTCAGACAGTGCGTAATGGATGTATTCTGTTCCACGTCAACAGAAAGGTCAAGAAAATCCTCATCTTTGCTACTAACCTGAAGCAAAAAATACATATGCAAAGATAAACACATGTCTAAATACACCTGAAACCCATACACAATGTTGGTCTTGAAACAATTACTATACGTACAAAATAAAACTAATTTTAATATTTTCTAAACTGATATCTGGCTTTGTATAAATATGTTCCCCATATCAGTCAGCAAATCCCTTAAACCACTTTTCACACCATTTCACTTCTGTTCTGGCACTTATCCCAACTCACTGACCATGACCAAGTCACAATCTTTGGTACTTAAAATAACACGGCTTTTCACCACTGTATTTTTGGAGCAGTCTAATTTTAGTTCATTTGTGGTTTCCAAATGCTTGAGCAAGGAACAGGAAAAAGAAAAATACCCTTATTCTTTATATTAAAATGTTATGTCTACATGACAAACCTAAGTCAACCTACATTAAAGTTTGAACCTCTCTAGTCCAGTAGTATCCATGGCCTGGCATGATTATAGTCAGCCAGATGTTCACTTACCCCCCATTTCCCTGCAGCTGTGGGAAGCTGCCTGGCAGGAAGCTGGCAGCCTCATGAAGGTAGCTAATGGAAAAGACAGTGTCTACCCAGACATTGCCTTGCTCTAATTACACCAACATAAGCATTATGCCTCTTGTGGAGGTGGTGTTATGAAGTCAGTGTAGCAGAACACTTATACTGATGGGAGGAAGGCTGCAGTGTAGACACTGACATAATTAGGTCAATGTAAGATACCTTATATTGACCTAACTGTGTAGTATAAGACCAGCACTAAGTGTTTCGCCTCTTTCCCCTTGAGACACTGTTAAAATGTATCCACATTGTTGCATGGTGAATTTTAAAACCATGTTAAAATATTTTGCTAGTTTTATTTTCATGTGTACATTGTACCAGACATTATTTGTGTCTTTTTATATACAACATATGCACACAGCTAAAGAGCCACATAATTAAATTCACACCATGGACAGGACTGCAGTGAAAGTGCAGTAGTAGGTATAAATCAAGAATGGAATGCATGGAGAAATATCATATTCATCAAAATGGATACTATGTGGTTTTGTGTTCTTTCATCTTCATGGACAAGCAGAGAGGTAAGCATAACATTTTTGTTCCAGATTTCTAGTTGCTATTTTTGATCTTTAGCCTTGCATCTAGATCTGGTTGGAAAAAATTTCAACAGAATAGTGTTCACCTCAGAAAATTCAGTTTAATAGAAAGTGAAATGCTTTGCAAAATCATGTAGCCAAGAAGGCTAATGGAATATTAGGTTGCATTAAGAGGAGCATTGCCAGCAGATCCAGAGATGTGATTATTCCCCTTTATTCAGCTCTGGTGAGGCCACATCTGGAGTATTGTGTCCAGTTCTGGGCCCCCCACTACAAAAAGGATGCGGAAGCATTGGAGAGGGTCCAGCGGAGGGCAACCAAAATGATTAGGGGGATGGAGCATATGACCTATGAGGAGAGGCTGAGGGAGTTGGGTTTGTTTAGTCTGCAGAAGCGAAGAGTGAGGAGGGATTTGATAGCAGCCTTCAACTTCCTGAAGGGAGGTTCCAAAGAGAATGGGGAAAGGCTGTTCTCAGTAGTGACAGATGGCAGAGGAGTGATGGTCTCAAGTTGTGGTGGGAGAGGTCCAGGTTGGATATTAGGAAAAACTATTTCACTAGGAGGGTGGTAAAGTACTGGAATGGGTTACCTAGGGAAGCAGTGGAGTCTCCATCCCTAGAGGTGTTTAAATCTCGGCTTGACAAAGCCCTAGTTAGGTTGATTTAGTTGAGATTGGTCCTGCCTAGAGTAGGGGGCTGGACTTGATGACCTTCTGAGGTCTCTTCCAGCTCTATGGTTCTATGATTCTATGTCTATTTGATCAAAAATTGATATAAGACAAAAAGGAGGGAAGGAAGGGAGTTCTAATTATACTGAAATGTCCCATTTAATTTCACTATTTTAATTTCTTTTAAAATAACTTTGTTTTGAATATTTTGAATTTTTAATTTTACCATACAATAAAATTAACATTGAAATGAAATCCTATAACACTGTGGAGCAAGCTGAGAATTTTTTTCACACAGAATTTTACATATTCAGGTTTCATTTCAAGCCAAATGAAAACAGAAACAGAAATCTCAATGTTCTGTAAATTACAATTTCTATTATCTGCCCTTCTCCATTCATTGATCCTGGTAGACCACTTTAAAGAATTTCAGTCACTTACAGGATTCAAATGTGGAGACATTGTTTGAGTGGGTGATATTTAGGGTCATACCTATTTTAGATTGGGATCCTGACTTCTCCAAAATGTAGTGATAGTTAGGCCTTAGCTTTTAATTGGAACACATCAACAATGAACACAGAATATGGAACCCCCATCTTTGAATCATCCCAGATCAGCAACCATAGAGGTTCTTCAGTATGTAAACAAAGCACATGTCACATGTTAAATATTGAAAATACGCTCTTTTCAACTGGTCTCGAACATCTCTGATTTTGGCTCACTCCATAAAAACCAAATCCTGTTTATAAATAAAAGTAGTGTACCCTGATTGAATACTTAAACTGTTAGTAATGCCATGTGTGTCTGCATCTCATTAGAATACCTTGAGATGGAACTGAAAAGCAAAGTTCAAATCTAGATCTGGATCCAAACTTCTCCAAAGTTAGAAAGAGGTTGGATCTCATAGTCGGCAGTGGATCCATATCACAGAATTACATCTGGACCAGAGGTGGGCAAATTCCCGATCCAATCCACAGAGTTACTCCCTGGTGGGCCCCTCCCACTGGGTTTACCTGCACCTCTGCAAGTATCTGACAATCATAGCTCTCATTGGCCATGAATTGCTGTTTCTGATCAATGCGATTGATGGGAAGCGGCGTCTCGGTCCACGACACTTCCCACCACTCGCATTGGCCACGAATGGTGATTTGTGGCCAACCAGAGCTG